TTTCTTGATTTTTCTCTTTGTTCCATGTTGCTAGGTCTTCATTTGTTGGTCACTTTGCCTCAACTGAGTAGGTGTTCAACATCTCCTAACAAAGGCTTCATGAAATCCTGCATTTTTTGCACGAGTTTGTAGTATTATTTTGTGATCAATTTACATTTTATTGTAGATGTTTAACAATTGAGACCCTGACAGAGGAGCAGGGCTAGATGTTAGGTCAAACCAGGGCTGAGTGGGGACTTACTGGTTAAGCATCACATCAGTTGTTGAGTATTTTCTTCTTATCACAGCTTGTGCTTTCCCATCTGCTCTGACGACTGCAGGGCACGAGGAATTCCTGCAGAGCACTGACCCAGACAAGAGTCCAAGAGAGCTTCCCAAAGCTGCGATTGGCAAGAGGGTTAGTAGGCAGAGAGGGGCAGGAAGAGCTTTGCTGGTGCCAGATTGGGTGTGTACACACATCAGTTACATTCACTAGGCGGTGTATATCTTTTCATAGAAGAGGAAACTGAGTCTTGGAGAGATTGCTTTCCCAAGGTGTCACAGCTAATGAGTACCAAAACAGAGATTCACCCAGGGTTATTGACTCAAATCTGTGTCCTCAAGTCTGTGCCATGCTGCTCGGTATTTTTAAATTCCAGGTTTTGTGGTGTGTGTGTGTGTTTTTTTTATATGAAAGCTTTAAAAATTCAATGCCCAAAAGCCTTAACTGAGAATGCTTTGCCATTCAACGAATCTTGTCAAAATCTGTTGCTAGGAAGGACAAAAAGAAAGGATACCTCCCCTTGAGTACCCAAGATAGAGTTTGAAGAAAGAGCTCCTCAGACAGTGGCAAGTCACCAAGAAAATGAAAGGCCCTATACCGTGTCACTCTTCTTAGCCTGAAACGCTTTATCTAGACATGAGCAGAGCTGCTGTGCCCTGAGTCCTTCCCAGGGAGGATCTGCATTGTTATCTTCTAATAAAATGGTGCTCGAGTGTTTAGATGTGAAACTTTTATTATCAATGAACTTTTCTTTTTATTTCTCGTCTACATTAGAGCCAGAGCATTATGTTTATCTTTTTCAAATAATGGGCCTGACTAGGTTATATTATCTGAGATTTCCTCTCAGATAGCAGAGTGGACCCTGGTGCTGATAAGGCTAAGATTCACTGGACTGTGCTGAGGTGTAAAATGAGGGGGAAATAATCACTTTCTACCTGGTTCTGAAAACTCATGCTCAGAATGTTACTCCTTTTTAAACTGTTCCTTTGGTTCCTGCTGATTACAAACTAAGGAGGCCTATCGGTTTGACATATGAGCAGCCCTCTAGAATCTGGTCCTTTTGCCCTTCCCCTATCCTGCCCCCATCTCCTGCCCTGCAGCCTGCACACCCTGCTCTTTAGCTGTTCATGACACTAAAGCGGAATCCCATCACATAAGGTCAGTCATACATACTAGCATATGAGCACATGACAATGGAAATTATTAACCTGACAATGCATTCAGTGGAGCAAGAAAAGTGACTTGTCTTTTCCCAGTTGGACTCAGTTCCTTCATCACCTCAAAAGTAAGCAGCTCACCTAGCTCACAGATTTCAGCATAGATGATTTTCACTCAGCAGTTCCTCAAACTCAGGCCTGCTATTTTGTGTCTGCACAAACCATGCCTGATGTATGGAGGAGGCAATTTAAGACCTTTTTACAGGTGATTTTGACCTTGAGCCATTTGGCTGCATGCACTATCTCCAGAACCTGCCCCTGTACAGTATACAGGGGCCAGGGGCCGTTTCAGCGAGGATGTATGTAGGAATCCTACAGGCATTGCCCCAGCTCCTCTCATGTTTAAGACTTCACTTTGCCTCACACAGACAAAGGCCTCTTCGTTTGATGTCAGGCCTGGGAGTGAGAGCAGAGCCTGGGACCATGTAACCTGGGGCACAGTTTAGTGAGAGAAGCTTAGATTCAGTCCAGTGACTGGGAAGCAGGCTTTTCCGATCAGGGCTCTGCCGATTGGGTCTTGATAATGCTCCATTATAATTTTGTAATTGATCAGAAGTCTAAGCAACATCAAATAGTTGGGAAAGAGTTTCAGCTCCTTTTCTAGACCCAAACTATATGCGCTTTTTTTTGTTGTTTATGTGCTTCTTTTTTCCCACGAGGACTATGGCCTACTTGAGTACAGGGACCCTTTGTATTTGTATTTCAGGGCCCAGCCTTGGTCTGAGCCCACCACACATGATGCTCTGTGATGAGGACTGGCATAGTATTGCAATAGCATACAGGGAGCTCAAAGGTGTCACGTGGAGCAGGCTCCAAAACGGCCAGAGCTCTGTGAGCTGTCCGGGGAGTAGCAGCATAATGGGTGTTTGTTTCCTGTCTCTGGACTGGGAAGTCGTGTTTACTGCACGATGACAGACAAGCACAAAATGGAGCGGAGGGTCTCCGTAGCCTCACCTGCGAGCTCACAGGCGGCATGGAGCTGTTGTGCCAGCGCTAATGAAGCGTACAGGAAACGGCACTGGATAAAGTTCAGCTGTGAACCCTGGCCTCCCAACAGGGGAAAGAGGGATCCTTTGAAGAAGAAGACAGCTGGGTTTTGGTTTCAAGACCTTAACGCTGCCATCACTAGATATTCATCTGTCAGTGCACAGGGGACAACATGTGGAGAACAGTTGTGTCCGGTCAGGCCAGAGGGAGAAAGAAATGGCTAATTTCCAGAGTAACTATGAAACCTCCTATGGCTGAGGATTCTGCTTAGCATAGCCAAAAAGTATCGATTTGCTGAGGCTGAGGCTGAGAACCTGGGCATTCTGCTGAGGGCCAGGCGGTCCTACCACGTCACCTTCCTTCATCCTCACAGCAGGACGCGGGCAGGGAGGCTGGAGGTTCGGCCCAAATTATGCTGGTCAGTTGAACATAGTGGCCAAAACTGCTTCTGTACACACCGAGTCCTAAATTACCAGGGAATCCAGCCTGCCCCAGGTCACTTCAAGTGTTTCTACAAGGAGTTCAACTTTATTCTTATTTATATGAGGCAACAGTTTTCTTGCAAGGAAATACTTTCTCTTCTTACTTTTTATAATCCTCCTTCCTGATTTTCAGTTCCGAGATTTAAATGGCGGTGTTTTTTTCTTTCAGGAAAAAGAAATTTGTAATCCTTGGTTGAGTTTGTTTACTAAGAGTCCTCTAATCTGGACAAGAGTTTTCTTCTGAGGGGATTTATTGTTTCTACTAGAATGGCTTTTAACTCAGCTGAGGTTTATTTAACAGACTAGGAAGGGAGAAATTTATCTCCTCCCTAATCCCTCTTGAATGTTTCCATCTCTCTGCCAAAGTGAATGTTGTGTAAAGTGGCAGCAGTGGTTTGCTCAGTAATAGTCAGTGTGCAGCTGCCAGAGCTGATTGAAACATATTAACATAAGTGATAATGCTGTCCTAGAAGTGAAAAGTTAAGTTGCTTATCAGTATATTCTGATAAACTACTTAAGTTTTACAGTAGCATGTGCTGGCTTCAGACATGCGTCAGTGACAGGGAGCTGTGCACTTTATCTGTCTCCTCGATTGCTCCTCACTTCATATATTACCCTCGGCGCTGTGGCTGGTAATCTGCAGGGCGCTGATTTCCCTCCGCCTGGCAGGACTGAGTGGCGCGGAGTCGGCGCTCCCCTCTGCGTCCAGCTCTATCAGCAGCGGACGGACGCTGTCAGCTCTGCAGGGCGGACCTGAGGGGGTGGGCCAGCACTTGGACAACACTTCTCACATGACACTCTGTTGCTTCGGGAAGTTTCTTATAGAGAATAAAGCCATTTAAATTAAGTGACAGAACTTCTTGGGAGTGGGAATGTATTTCAGCAGCAATTCTGAGGCACTAATGTGCCTTTGCTGTTAGTCTTTATTTAATTTTGGTTGTTGCGTCAACACTAAGCATTGATGGCATTCTGTCTGTGTGGTTGGCCCTTGGAAGACAAGGTAAAACAAGACGTGTTCCTTCCTTCCTGCAGTCTGCTGAGAAAACAGACACACCATTGAATGTTACATTGATGTGTGGAATGTTATAACAAAAGTAGGCATATGCCCTGGGCAGCATAAAAGAGAGGAAATCACTAAAAATCAGTCTGAGGCCGAGTGTGAGAACCTGGGCACTTCCTGAGGCCTCCCTTTGACCTTCCATGAAGGTCAGAGGGAGAAAAGGGCCAAGTCTAGACAAGCAGAGGCAGGCTTGAGGCTGCCTGCACACGCTCAGGACTCCTGAGGCTGTAGTGACAGGACGTACATGAGGAAGTTGAGCGAAGACAACCAGAGAGGCAGTCAAGGGCCAGACAATGGAGAGACTCGAACACCGTCCTAAGAAATCCTGCAGCGGTGGGATGACTGCAGGAATTTAATCCAATGTGCCACTTAGACTTGCATTTTAGAAAGACCATTCTAAGAGCAATATTCTAAGAGGATGGACTATGGTTAGGTTATCAGAGTAAAGGGACATGGTAGCCAAGACCTGGTAGAGGGCAGTGGGATGCAGAGCTAGTGCTCATCCCACAATAAATACAATAAGTAATAGAATGTTTGGTGTAACAAGATGAGTGGTTTCGGGCTCTTGGGGCCTTTGGGACACCTTGCCAGCAGTGGAAGTGCTGCATGTGTGTGTGGCTGTGTGTGTCTAATCATGAGAAACTTGAATAGAAGATTTCCTGGAAAGGGTGGGTGTGGTGGGAGAGGCCTGGGGGCTACTCAGAGTTAGTTCCTGATTGCAGAGTCTGCTTTGAATGTCTTCTCTATGAACCTGTTCTAGCTCTGAGGCATAGGAATAATTTATAATGAACATTCAATCCTCCGTCTTATCCAGGCAGTTTTTTAAAATCCCAGAAATAATTAGCATTTCACCAGTCTGGGTTTCCAGCACGACTACGACAGGAAGACTCTAGGATGTAGAGAAACACTGAAATGTACCAGTCTGGAATTCACTCCTGGTTAAAGTTTTGACCTGCATACTAATATTTCATGTGTTTTCTCTCCCTTTCCAGCTATCTCCCGTGGTTCGAAGTATTTTATAAACTACTTAACATCTTGGCCGATTACACAACAAAAGGACAGGTATTTGTCTTCTATTCTTTTTAACGAGTAAACTTTAACTTTTATGATTATAAAAGTAATTTGCTCTATATTTCACCAAGTTGTTTACCAAAAATGTAATGCATGCTCATTATAGAAAGTTTGGGAAATTCAGAAAATAATAGGAGGGAAGAGAAAACCACTCCTACATGTTCATACTCTGTTTCCACCCCCATAAGTGTCACTAGCATTGTGGAATGTTTTCTTCCTTTACTTTATGAGTTAAATATATAATAAATAGATCTTTAGCATTCAGAGTTAATATTCATATTATCTAATGGTCCCAAGCATATTATCTAATGGTCCCCTGAAAGTTCATGACAGGTATTGTTATAATTTTGCTGAGGCACAAATCTGAATTGCTCATATCATGCTGCAAAGCTGGGATTTGTGAGTGAATCACATAACGGGCCATTTACAAAAAGGAAAATATAGGAAGTTAGACATATGGACAAATGGAGAGGGCTCTGCTCCTGGCTGAGCAAGTTACTAACTAACTGGCGGATTTGAGCCAAGTGGCTTCACCCTTCATAGCCTCAGTTTTTCAGTCTGTAAAGTGGGGTAGTTGTGAGGATCATATAGGTTTTAAAAAAGGATACAAATGTGAGCTTATTACTGTTATATTAACAGAATGCCACAGAATGGGAGAAATGGCTTTTGGATAATTCTGTAAGCAGTGTTCTTTTGAGCATTTTAAAGGTGACTCTGTTTTCAGTCGAATAATTTGCACTGCTTTGTATTTAATTTCACTAATTAAAATGCACAGCCATCATCCTATCTTGCATGCTGTTATATGTAGTTCATTTTTAACTTTCCATAATTGGAGACTGCCATGTGTACCCAGTGAACACTCAATAAAATTAATTGAGGGTAATGATGATGAAGACAAGATCTATAGTGTCATCGTTATTTCTCCCCACCACCCCCAACCTGTAAGCGAGGATTGTTTGCATTTAAAAATTGTTGCTATGGAGTTGAGAGGATAGATTTGCTGAGAGCTTATGGTACATGATCCATAAAAGGCGGCCATGGTAGGTGTCTCACTGAGTAGAAAATGTCAAACTTGGTGTGGGAGGATCTATTTGGCACTTATATTGAGCCATAAGCAGTGTCTTTTGTCCAACCCTCCTTAAATATCAAACCTGTTTCCGTCCTGGGCCTGTACCTCCCAGCCCCTCAGTCATGAGGAACCCCAGCTTACTGCCCAGGCCTGCAGATCTCTCACTAAGGGCTCAGTCTTGATTTGGTCACTGAGGCCTTTTATTTCTTTCAGGAGAGTCAGTGGAATGAGCTTCTGGAAACTCTGCACAAACTTCCCATCCCCGACCCAGGAATGTCTGTTCATCTCAGTGTGGTAAGTGGGCAGAACACCAGCCATCACTGAATAACCATTTAACTAATAATAGTAAGAAGGAGTTAGCCAAACAGGGTCATTCTTTGTTATCTGCACCTTCTACACCCTAACCCGGAGTTCTCTGAGACCCGTAGGCTCAAGGCAGGCCAGGGAGTTGTATTTCTTCCTTTCTCTGGATTCCATGAGCAATGGGTCCCAAATATCCTCAGATCCTCTCTTCCTGGCTGTCAACCCATCACTAGCATCTCCTGGCCTGCCTCACGTTTTGCCCCCCAGCATTGCTGTGAATGTTCCTTTGCTGAAGCCCATCTTGCTGCCATCTGAGCCTTCAACACCACTTCTCCCCTACTTACTAGGGTATGCCATATTCCTCCTTCAGAACTCAACTCGGATTTAATTCCAAGAAATCCTCCTCAATACCCACCAGGCTTAAAGATTTTTTTTGTCCCAAGCCTCTTGTACACTTAGCAGTACTCAGTCATGCCACATTGGACTATCTGTTTTCCTATACCCCCATGGACTGTAGGTCCCTGAGGACAGGGACTGGCATAGTTCCTGGCCTACACTAATAACTTCTTTGAGCTCTTTTATGTACATGCTGCATGTTCTGTAGTGTGCTAGGGTGGAAAAATCCTCTGAACTACAAATTGGGAGATTTCACTCCTCGTTGTAGTTTTGCCCATGATCTGAGTCTTTGTGTGTTTCCATATTTCAGTTACTAGAATCTTCCAATTATCTGGGTCAAACCCTTGTCACCACCTCCATTAGTATTCTCAGATGGACATGCTTTGGCCAGCTGTTGATTTTACAGGGGCTATTTCCCTTAAGTTGTTGGGTCTGAACCTTTAAAATGTCTTGTCTTTCAGCTTCACTAGAACCAGGTACAGTATTGGTCTTCAGTGGTTATTATCTTGGTATTTTCCCTCTTAATGAAAATGGACATATCTCATAAAGATTTGGTTTTTTCGTGATGATCAAATTGAAAGCAATATTATTACCAATAACTAATAATATATTATTTACTAAGTTCCTAATATATGCCAAGTATGCCTCTCTAATGTTCACAACATTAGCATTTTCATTTCATTGATGAGGCTTAGAGAGGAAAATGTACTTGCCTATCCAGAGTTATGTGGTTAATTGTGAGAAGATTGGGGTTTTCAAATCCAGGGCTAACCTTCCAAGCCTATGTTGTTTCCACTACGCCATAAGTGTTGAAAGAAAGGGAGAAAGAAGGAAGGAAAAAAGGAATTAGTAGGATTTTTACTCACTTTAATGGAGCATGGGAAGGAAAGGAGCCTTGTTGCAGAAATTCATGTAAGGAGGACTGTTGGGAAGATGAAGGAATGAGCTTTAAACCTGCCTCACTAATCGCCGCACAGCTAAGCCACCTTTGCCTTTGCCGCTGTCCCTTTTTCTAAACAGCTTGATCTCACCACTTCAGTCTGTAATGACATCCGACAGGTAGCTGTGGAGTAGCCTGGCTGGGTCACCAGATGCTGGGGAAGAAGGGCCATTCCTTCCCCTGAGTGGCTGCCAGGCCTCAAGGACGAACCATCGCAGAGGCAGGAGAAACTGCAGGGAGGGTGCAGCTGTTTCATGCCAGTGGTTTCTAGGAATGTTTTTGACCTCTGGTCGCAGCATTTCATGGGCGATGGAGCAAGACAGAATCTCAAAGGACAGCTTGGTGACTACTTGTGTTGGGAGCTGCATTGGCTCACTAGTTACAATCCATTGCATCTGTAAAGGCAGATTTTTTTTTTTTTCTTTCTTGTTCACAAGGAATTCTTTTCTCCATGTGGTATTTCTGATTTTAAAGCACTCGTTTCATCTAAATCAGAAAGCCTGAATTGTTGATAAAATGGCAATCCTGGATATTTTTTTGATTTAGTCACAAGAAAATATTTCTGTGTGTCTGATACAGGTGATTGTGAAATATGGAAATGTAAACTAGCAGTCGAGAGCAATAATCATGATTTTCTATTAAAAGACCATTTATGGAATTCTAGGCATTTTACATATATAACGTTATTCTTCACAACAGTTCTGAAGTATTAATAGATATTACAATTCAAAAACTGAGGCTGTTAAGTGAAGTTGCTAAAAGTCATTTAGCTGTTAAGTGCCAGCTCTGTGGTCCCTGCTCTTTCCCCTTCACTGTGCCAACTATTACATTATTACTCCAGCCCCTTGTGGACTTCCATTACTGAACATTTCCTGGGACTCCCTTCTAGCCATTTGGAATAGAAGTTGGTGAATTTGGTGTCAAATTTAACCTTGTATTTTACTTTCACTATTTTAATCCTTATTGTTAGTTGTTGACTAGTTTCCATGCTGCACAATCTCTGTTGTAATACTTTATAGGTGATATTTTGGCGCAGACACACAGACTTTAGAATAATGCTTTGCAGATTTTTGGGTTTTTTTTTAAGTTATCTTTTTATAATTTGTTTTTACTTTTTAGTTTATTATTTCAATTCAGGTGACTTCAGCTAGTTTGAATTTAAAAAGCACAGGTAAAACAGCCTGTGGTGGAAAGAGCAGAGCTCTAATTATCCAGACCTGGTTTCAGTACGGGTTCTGTCACCTACAAGACAAGTTACTTTCACCTCCCTGAGCCTTAATTTACCCATTTGCAATGTGAAGATAATTTCTACCTTAAAATTTGCTATGGAAATTAGAGGCAATATTTCTAAAGTATTGGCATAAAGCTTGCAATGTAGCAGGCATTAAATAAATGTCTGTTAAAATTAGACCAACAACTCATAGTATTGTTGTCATTGTCATTTCAATTGTCCCCTGTGCCTTTCATTTCAGGAAGGCTATCCGACTCATTTTTTTAGAGACCCATTTATTTTGCAATTACCCAAGAATGGTGGCGCAGGAGGACTTCCTTAAATGTCACTTGGGGGTCCAGGTTTGAACTTAGGCCATGGTTAAGCCGACCTTCTATGCATGTGACCTTTCCTGGCTTTTGCATAGTCCCTTCCTTAATTGATCAGCACTGGGCTCTCTCCATTCCTGCTTGCCATTGTCCTATGAGTCTTTCATAGCACAGTGGAGGTATCATTAGTTCAGTCTGTTGTCATTTGACTCAGGGACAAACTCTTGTTACACACATAGTGATGCCTCCTTGAAAGTTCTTTGAACTGGTCAAGTTTTCAACTCCACTGAGGTGGAGACTGCACTAGAAGTCATGAGGCTTATTGGCAGAGCATGCATACTGAAGAGAAATCCTCTATTCTTAACCCCTGGAATAGTCTCAGTGCAGCTATCCTTCAGCTGGAGCTGTCCTTAACATCACTTGTGCCTTCGGGCAGATTTTGCCCGAAGCCTATAGATGGATATAATCTCAGATGCTCAAATGAAATGGCAGGTTTGGTTGGTAAAGACCATTGTTGAGTGAACCTTGTGATATCTGGTCCCTTGAGTTCACTTGCCTCATTGAACAATAACTTATGAAGCCTGAAGCTTTCTTATGTTCAGAAATCTGCAAGCATCATATGGGAATGTAGCCTTTAACCCCTTTGAGCTGTTCATTTATATCTCCCAAAGTAGCTCATACTATCTAATAAAGAGGGAATGTGCAAATTGACCATCATGCTGTAACAAAATGGCTGTGCCCACAGCAGAGGTGGGGATCCGGTAACACAAGATGGCTGCACCCACAGTGAAGGCCGAGTTCCTGTAATGAGCCCAAATGAGCACTCAGCAGGGACCTGAGGCTGTGTGGCGCTGGGCTGGGGCAGGAGGGGACCTGAAGCCACACTCCTCGCCCAGGAGGGCTTGATAGGGGATCTCAGGCCACGACCCCCACCCAGGCGCCAGGCCAGGCAAACTGAGGCTCTGCCCCCAACCTGGTGGGGGTTGGCAGGGGTGGGGCCAGCTGGGTCTGGATCTAGCCCAATGGGGGCAGAGCTGGCTGGGTCTGGGTCCCATGCAATTTTGAGGTGTACGTGGGTGGGTAGGTACTTGAGTCTGGTTCCCGTGGTGTGCCCCAGACTCTTGATAGGAAGATTTTCATATACATTTTACTATTTTTTTTTTTATATCTAACACTTCTATTATAAAGAGAAAGGGCAAATAGCAATATTAAAGTATTTCCTTTAATTTCCTTTTAATGTGCACAAATTTCATGCACCGGATCACTAGTCTCTTTTATTTTTTTTATTTTTATTTTTATTATTTTTTTAAATAAATCTTTATTGTTCAGATTATTACAAATGTGATCCTCTTCCCCCCCTCAATTGCTCCCTTTCACCAGGTTCCCACCCCACCCTCTGTCCTTTCCCCATCCCCCATTGTCCTCATCCATAGGTGCACAGTTTTTGTTCAGTCTCTTCCCGCACCCCCACTCCCCTTTTCCCTGAGAATCGTCAGTCCACTCCCCTTCCATACCTCTGATTCTATTATATTCACCCGTTAATATTGTTCATCAGATTTTTAAATTCCCTTGGTTTTTAGATTCACTTGTTGATAGCTACGTATTTGTTGATCATAATTTTTATCTTTATCTTCTTCCTCTTCCTAAATAACCTCCTTCAGCAATTCATATAATTCTGGTTTGGTGGTGATGAACTCTTTTAGCTTTTTTTTATTTGTGAAGCTCTTTATCTGTCCTTTGATTCTGAGTGATAGCTTTGCTGGGTAGATTATTTTTGGCTGTAGATTCTTGTTATTCATCACCTTGAATATTTCTTGCCATCACTAGTCTCTTTTAGAAAAGAACTCCATCTACCAAACTGATGATTTAATGCATCTGCCTTTAATCCAGTGTTATCCAAAGAAAAGATTGCATAGACCTTTCCAGTGAGTGGAATTACTTCCACATTTGAGTAAAAAATTATCTTCAAATCATGTACCTGACTTCTGAATAATGTGCTTGTTGTTTATTTTTGCAAAAATAAATAGGTTTTCTTTTCTTTTCCAGCATTCTTATTTTAATGTGCCTGATACCAGAGAACTTCCCAGCATACCTGAGAATGTGAGTACATGGGAGGAAAAAATTTAAATTTTTGTTTTTTGTAACTTACTTTTAAAAGAAAATAAAAGTATATATTTCCCAACTATAAAATAGTGCATTATAAAGGCAAAAACAATAGAGGATATTTGAAAAGTTTAAAAACAAGGAGGGATTATTATTCATATTTCTCAAAGACAATCACCTATTAACATGTTGATGTCTCATTCTAGTCTTTTTAGAATGTATTTTTTATATAGTTAAGATCACCTATTACATAAGCAGTTTTCCATTTCTTTTATAAGAATCTTTTTTATGCCTGCATATTATTCCACTTGCAATTTTTCCTACTGTTGTGCATTTATGTGATTTTTCGATTTTGCTGTTGTTAGTAAAATATTTTCATATAAAGATTTCTCGAGTAAGGTAAATTTACTCAAGTAGATTATACTTCTACTATATTTCTATATTCACTTTTAAGAGAGTAAAATAAAACATTTGTGAGGATAAGTATAAGGACTCCCAGTCCTACTTCTTAAGGACTTAAAAGCAGTGACCTTGAATCGAGGGAGCAGAGGTTAATTCTTGCATTCTCACAGGCTATGACATAGCAAGCCTAGCCTTAAGACACATTTTCAAAATGCTTTACTCAGATAATAAATAGTGATATGTAGAATTAAATATAAAATTACCACCACTTAGGCACTTGATTAATATTTAATTGTGGCAAAATGTACATAAAATAAAATTTATCATTTTAACCATCCTTAAGTGTATATTTCATTGGTGTAAATACATTCATATTGTATTTACAATATGCCTAAACCAATTGTGTGATTTTTTTATATAGAGTCAAAATTTGTGCACAGGGCAGGTGTCCCTCAGTTTGGTCTGCACCCTCTCCAATCTACAACCCCATAGGGGTCGGGCCTAAACCGGCAGTCAGACATCCCTCTCACAATCCGGGACTGCTGGCTCCTAACGGATTGCCTACCTGCCTGATTGCCCCTAACCACTTCAGCCTGCCAGCATGATCGCCCCCTAACTGCTCCCCTGACAGCCTGATTGCCCCCAACTGCCATCTTGTGACGACACAGGCTTTTATTATATAAGATGTTAGAGTAACAACTATTGCTCAGGTTATGTTTTTCTTTAATTTTTTTTAATTTTAAAGATTGAGAAAATTTAAAGCACTTGAAAATTCTGATAACTTATTACTTTTCAAAATCATAATTACTGAGATTAGAAATAGCTTAGAGAAAAAACAACAACAATCCTGTCTTTTTCATAGCTCCACCTCCAATTCCTGTATGCCACCTCCCCTGTCCCCACCACTTTAAAAAATTTGCATTCTCTTAGCTGTTTTTGCCACTAATGAACCAATTCCCTCTGCATGAACCATTGTCCATTAAATCCTCCTTTGCAAACCGGTAAAAGGCTGGCCTTGTTTATTTCTAAGCAGGAATAAAGACAGTCTGCCAGACTTCTAACATACATGGTCCCATTTAAATCCTTCCAGCTTCTCTGTGAGAGGTAGACGTGAGCCCCATTGTACATATAGGGACCCCAGGCTCACAGACCTGAGTTTACTAGCCTAAGGCCTGCTCGTAAGTAGGGTTCAGTGACCTAGGCTTGTTAGGACCAAAGCATTTTATTTCCATTATACCCACCCATCTGGCTTCCCTACAGTTGACTTTTGATATTCATGAGGAAAAAGGAAACGAAATGATTTTTCGTAGCTCAAATATGAAATGAAGCAGGCGAGCTTTTTCTCTAAGGAGAATCTAAACTTTTGTAGGACCAATTTGTGTGATTTTTTTTTATATAGAGTCACTATTGAGCTCTAGCCATGTTGAAATTTGCATTTTAATCTCTTGGTGATTTTTCAAGGATTAATTTAAAATGACTAAATTGCTGCATTGCAAATTGAAACAAGCAATAACAGTGGGGTTGTTAATATGATGGCAGTATGCTGTAGTGGAAAGAACATGAGTTTTGGAGACAGCCAGACACTGGGCTCCACCACTCTGGGACCTTGGGCTACTTACTTCTATTATCTGAGCCTTGGTATTCTTATCTAATAAAGCAAAATGGGAGGAACAAATGAAGTATTAAATGTAAAATTCCAAGTTCAATGCCTGGTACAACATAATGCTGCTTTTGAGACTTCTTTTCTTCCCCTTCTTCCCTTGGCCTTCTTGGAATTCTTGAGATCTGAGTTGTGGCTAAGGGCTAGAGAGCATTACTTCTTATAGCTTGTGTTTTCTAGGTTTTTGCTGACATTCTTGTATGTGAAGACCAGTGCTTTTCCTTTCATGAAGTGTGTATTTGGCCAAAAGTCTCTTAGCAGGCGCTATTGATACCAGAATTTGTGAAGCTTGGGAATGGTGTAGGGAATGGAGTCTAGAACTTCAGTGCCTGTAATGTGGGGAGGTGGCTGTAAACATTGATTGATTATCTTATCTAAGGGACATAATGAACTTTAGCGACTAAGCAAAGAAAACAGTAAAAGGACTTTGGGATATGGAACTTGATTCTGACTTCAGATGATCATATTCTTCTGGACACTTCAGAAAAATGTTCTTAAGAAATTAAGGAACTCATATCTACTATGGGTCAGATCAGACACAGTGTGTTAAACCATGAAACCTTCATAGCAGCCAAGTGGTGTGGTTGTTCTTCCTGAAAAGCTTTGAAGAGGAAATGAAGCTCAGAGAAGAAAGTTGCCACTAGTCATCCAGCCACTAAATGCTAAAATCAGGATTCACATTCAGTCAGTCTGATCCCAGCACTGAGATCCTGTTGGGTCCTGGGCCTCCCACTCCATAGTTCCCTATACCCTTCTAAGAAATCACTTATCATAAGTGTAATTAATTATGCAAATCTTTGTTCAATATCCTCTCTCCTTCCTGAGGACAAATATCAGGATTTTTCTCTCACTGTATCTCCATAATTAGCACTGAACATAGAACACAGTAGATGCTCATATATATTTATGGAATGAATGAATTAATGAATGAACAATGCAGCCACCCTCAGGAGAAGGAAAAATAATAGTTTCTCCTGGCTTTGGGGCTATTGTGTCTACAAGACACTAATGAAAACCAAAGGTAGAGAATTAATTTTTTCTACTCTCAGATGCCTGTTGAAGTTAATTTTCATTATTCCTCCAATTTTTTTTAAAACTATTTTCTTTTTACTGAAAAACTATCACCATATAATTGTTCACCAGGGTTTTCTCTATCTATCAAGATAACAGATGTAGAAGTGAATTTTATACAGGTAATAGTTAAATGAGCATAAATCTTTATAAATTTTGAACAGTTGACCTGCATTAAAAAAGTCACAGATCATGAACAGATATGTAGTAATAATTAAATTGTAAACTAGCTGGAGAAGAGATTTTTTTTTTTAGCGGCTAGGTTTTTGAAGTGTACTTTTGATTAATGGGTAAGCATATAGACCGTCATTTGGAATATTAAACAAACCTGTCTTAATTATCTGACCAGTGTCATACCAACTGGTTAATGATGCAAGAAAAGCATTTAGAATGGACAGTTACATATAACATTGCCCAGACTCCACTTTGTCAAAAGATGCAGCATGATATAGAAAAGATGTATGAACTCGTGGTGACTTTCACAAATAAAGTTGGGGTGATAGTAGAAGACCTATAATCAAGTACTGAGATTATAGAGAATTCCATTGTTGCTCTTAAGAGTTATCAGGTAATTGTTTATTCTAATGGTTTTTCCATTCACTCAAAGGGATAAAAGTTGACCTTAGGGTAAATTCTGCTTTCTTTCCTATTATGTACTTACTTTGCTTATGTAAATTTGTGGGATTCTTTCTCAGACAGATTATTTTAGAATTCAAATTTATAATTCCCTTTTAAGGATCCTACACAACTAAGGGGACCTAAATTCTTCCTTTTAAAAAAGTCAATTGAGGTTTTTAAAGGTTTACATTATGGTAAAATAATCTGAGCTGGAGTTATTTCATGAAATAAGACCCACTGTCAAAACCAAGCCTCCTGCCTTAGAAACCTCTTCCAGACACAGTACAGTAAGTCTTTATCATCTATACTGTGTGTGAAGCTGCAAGTCACAAAGACTAATAAAATGACAGACCGTGGGGCGGACTAGCATCTGTTCCAAAGGCTCCAAGGAGTACCCAGCTTAGAGTTGGTTCTTTGGTTTGAGGATTATCTCATTTCCCTAAGGTATTGAACGTAAGACGCTTTTTCTTTAAGCCCCACTGTATCAGCCCATTCCACCTCCCCATCCACCCCCCTCCTGCTTCCTAACCCCGGGTGTGGATCACAGTGCACCCGCAGTCCCCAGCCACCTGGATCAGCACAGGAGCCAGCAGGGACAGTCAGATGCAAGCAGCCACTCTGGGTCTTCTCCTGGGGGACGTGGGGTTTTGTCAGGTGACTTTCCTTCCTCTTTGTTTGGGTTTAGAGGCACAGAAGGTTAGAGCGAGAAGGGACTGTCGCCGCTGTTTCTTTGTGGAGATGAGAAATGAAAGCTGGGAGAACCTACGGAGCTGTGCTGCACATGCCTGTTCTGAAACTCACCTCCCAGGCTGCTGTGCCCTTGTTAACCAGAGACCTCCCAACTTTGTATCCCTGATACCCAACCTCACAGAATGGGCCCGTAATATATTCTAGCTGGATGGGAAAACGCTCAGAAGGACATAACAGTAGATGTAACTGAAATAATGCTTAACTCCATGAATAGTAAAGGACTGTCTTTAACCCTAAAAACATAATGGCACTGAGAACACTGAGCTTTTTTGGACAAGGGCACTGGGAAATAGTCCCTCTAAGCAAGAAGGAGAAGTAATTGTCAGGGAATACTAGAGGGAGTGGTTACTTAGGCTTAGCCATGATGGCATTGTAATCCAGGACACTGCATTGTAACCATCCTCATTCTTGACAGGATTGATCCCTCATTAACTAAGTAGACTTGCCTTTAAAAAACTGTTTGGGGAAAACAAAAATGTTTTAGGGGAAAAACCTGTTTGGGCAAGTGGAAAGGTGTGGTGCACAGTCATCCAGATTCTTTCTCCCACCCTGCTTCTCAAGTCTAATTCATTGTCAAGTCCTGTAATTCCTCTTTTCAGAAATCCATCCCATCCACTTCCAAAGCTTTCATCTGAATAGTTTGTTTGTTTTAATCATTCTTTCCTGGAATATGGCGTAGCTTTAACCGATTGCCCTGCCTCCCACCTGCCCTCTCCTGTGCATCCTCCACAGGACCTGTAGGAAGATCTTTCCAAAACACAGATGTGATTGTGCCATGATCCTTCAGCAGCTCCCGCGGGATCTGGTCCCAGCTTCCCTACCCCAGCACGCCCCCTGACCTGCACTATCCTCCTTGCCTTTGCCTCTGCCTGGAATATGCTTCTCCCCTGTCTGCTGAGTGAACTCCTAGTGGGAGGCCCAGACCAGATATCTTCTCTGACAAGTCTTCCCCAGCCTTCTTCCCACACCCTCCAGCAGAGTTGAATCTGCCCTTCTTAGCACTGGAACTCGTGCAGCCTGGACCACTTTGTCCACTGGGTTTCTGGGTTTCATGTCACTCCCATCCCCAGACCATGCTCCTGGAAAATGGGGATTGTTTCGTGCATCTCTGTTAACCAGCTCCCAGGGTGGTACTGAACACAGAGTGGGAGTTAAATAAGTGTTTGTTGATTGGCAGGTTATAGAGACAGGAATGGAGGTTGAAGACCCAGTTCTACTGACACAAAGTGCTAGGAGAATAGCACACCTTGTGTTTTTTATAAATATAAGCTCAGTATGTTTTGGCTGCAATTTTGATCTGGGATAGTTTTTCATGGAAGCCTCTCTTCTTATGCCCCATTCCCCACACTCCTGTCTTCTCCATCTGAGAAATACAATTGACCTGTCTGTGAAATGAGACCTGCTTCTGTGTACAGTCTCTCCCCACTGCCCAATACCAGATGAACAAACTACCTATTTCCTTACACTTTTAATAAATGTCGCCACAGATACCATTAAAAGGCCTGTCCCATCCACCCGGTTATTTTATCTGACTGTGAACCTGCGGTTTCAATTCTTTTTCTGAGGGCCATCTACCATTACTAAGTAATCACTTCATCTAACTCAGACCCAGGTTTTCTGAAGTCAAACGCTTTGTTCTTCTTGATATACCACCTGTCCCTCTCCCAGGCTAGTGTGTTTCCTCCTGTACCACACTGCTTGCACTTGAACTATGGAGCAGTGCTCTTCAGGCAGGTGCTTTCTCCACTCATTGATTCATTCCTTCATCACACTGCTAGATTGTGGATATGTCATCTTACTCAGAGGGACCTCAGTCTACTCACAATTATACTGGTACTCCAATCAAACAATAACAAATGGTAAGATAAGTGCCTGGTTTGTTGTTGTTGTTGTTGTTGTTTTTTTATAAGATAGAGACAAATTGCCATAGAAGCACAAAGGGAAATTTGACAAATGAGTCCAGGAAGCCTTCCAGGAGGAGGTGACATTTCAGCTGGGTCTTGAAAAGTAAGTGGGAAGAGAAGAACATTCTAAGCAAAGGAAAGAAGTAAAAGCCTGCAGTGTGAAAAGGTAGGGCAAGTCTCAGAAGTTGAGGGTTAGCGTGCCTTACACTGCTGGGTGCTTTAAGACATGGGGAAGGAGTACCCCTCTGCAAGGGATTTTCTTCTGAGATGAAGCTGTGTAGGAACTGTGAGTGCCCCACTCTAGCTGCCTCCCCGCCAGGTGCTCCCATGGCCCAGTGAGGCTCTTGGGGCTGTCGCCACTCCCACCCACTCCCAACGCCCATGCAGTGGCATCCCAGAAGGAAAGAGGCAGGGGAGGAAGCAGATAAGAAAGACAGCTTCTGTTTAGACACAAATATCTTGGTAATCAGCACAGATGGGATGAGAATACCAAAAAAAGTACATGACAGTTTAGAGAGAATTTGGCTAAATGTTACATATTTTTAACGTACCTGTGTAGAGTTTTTGGAATGAGCACCTGAATCTTTCAGAGCATGACTATTGTGCTTGGGGGTTATACCCCAATCAAGTGACATTTTTACTTCAGAGATGTTCCCTTCCCCACCCACAAAAGTATCCTTGTGATTTTTTTTTTTCTCCCACCAAAATAAGGCGCAGGATTTGTCTCTGACGCCGTGTCTCCTTATTTGGACGGCAAGCTGTGTAACATATTTCTACCCAGTGTGAAGCTTCTTGGCAGACTCTTGAGGCCACGTTTTGGTGGCTTCAGAGTTATCTTTGGATCTGTCAAAAGTGCTAATGGGCTTTCTGGCCTTCTTTAAGCTCCTCATTTCTATTTTCTTTTTACTTCCATCCTCTTCTAAAAGAAAAATGCATGTAATTCATCAGCAGTTAAGCATTTTGCTGAAATGCTCAGCTGAGGGCCTTGTATTTTTGTTTGCGAGAATAGCTCTGCCATGTCACTGTCTCCAGAACAAACCCCATCCTGACATCATTAGCTCAGCACTCCTCAGTCCACTGAGCAAGAGATAAGCTCCTTGGCGAATTCAGCCTGCCTTTTTTGTTTTATTTTGCTTTTCAGGTTTGTTAAGAGGCAGGTCGGTGTGGTGGTTAGAGCAAGAGTTTTGGCTTCAAGAGATCTGATTTTGAAACTTGGCCCTTTCTAGCTGGGAGACCTTTGGAAAACTACTTAACCTTCCTGAATCTCAGTTTTTCCATCTATAAAATAGAGATGATAATGCCCTCCTCAGTGTTCTGGAGAAGATTAGAGAGAACCAAGGTAAAGTGCCTATTGTCTGGCACATAAGGATTTTTTTTTTCTCTTTCTTGATGTATACTTTTGTCCTTCTTTGTTACTATGCTATGCTTTTTTCCCCCTGATACAACTTTACCTATTATTTTAATGGTATAAAAGAAGAGCATAGCCGTGATTGTCATTCCATACACCAGAGCATCATCCTGTACAACAAAGAGTGACAGGCTTAGTCCCAAGTCAGGGCGCGTACTGGTGGCAAAGATAGATGTTTCTCTCTCACATCAATGCCACTCTTGCTCTTGCTCTCGTTCTCAGTCTCACTCTCCCCCGAAAATCAATAAACATATCCTTAGGTAAGGATAACAAATTATAAAAAAATAAAAAAGAAGAGCACAGGTTTAGAGACAAGCCCACCTTAGACTAAATAATGCCTCATCTGCTCTACTGTCTAACCTTGGTCAAATTATTTCACTTTCTCTGTGCCTATTTTCCTATCTGTATAAAGAGATCATAATACCTGTTCAAGGAGTTAAGATTAAGTGAAATAATATATGTAAAGCCTTGTATGTTGTAGAAGTTTAAAGTACTTACGAGGGACAGTATAATGTACATTAAGGGAAAGCAAATGTACTATTGTGTTGGATTTGAGTTCAAATTCTGACTCCCAGTTACTGGGTCTCTTCCAGACTTACCATACTTTATCTGTATATTGGAATATGAGGTATCATATTCACATGATACCTCAGTGGGTTTTTATGAAAATTGCATAAGATTATAGCTACATGGTACCTGATATGGTGCCCGGTACTTGGTAGGTAGTCAGTGTATGGAGCTATTAATTCACTCTTTACTTATAAAGGTCAATGGTTAACCTGGTACTCCAATCAAACAATAACAAATTGTAAGATAAGTGCCTGTTTTATTCCCAGTCCCTATATAATATTGTCAAAAAGCACTTTATGCTATTTTGCATATAAAATCCACCTGGTTTACTTGAATTTATGGGTTATAGATCTTTCATTATTATAAATTGCAACCCTGGCAATAGTGTTCCTTCCTTCCCCACCCTCTTCATTTTCAGAGGATTTTATTGTATGGCATTGAAAAGCTGTAACATTGAAGAAATTAGCATATTTATGTGTATTATTAAAGTCAGGTGGGTATAGAAAGGGTTGCAGAAATGAAACACATTACATTTCTTCTGAAATCTGAAGAGTACCAATCTATAGAACTAATTAAAGGAATGAAGCCTAGGCTACGGACAAAAGCTAGTTAGAACACTGCTTTGTCACAACTTGCTGCTGCTTGCCTTTGATTTTTTTTTTCTTTTTGAGTAAAATACCTGGAAATTGTAAATCTTCTAAATTATTTTCATTACAGCCAAGTCATTTTAGAGAATGTAAACTGGAGGAGGGGGACACCAGCCGTGACAAGAGAGGAGCATGCTGGCCTTTGTGGGTGGGATCTGTTGGGCAGAAACGGTCTCTGCCAGAGCGTTTTGTCCCTGGGTACTTTGTTTTGCTGAGACGTGTGGCACAGTGCATTGAGAAAGTTCTAGGATCTGGAGTTCGAAGCTCTGAGCTGCAGTCCTGCCTTCATTGCATACAAGACTTTTTGATCTTGGCATATCTCTCTGAGCCTTGGTTTCCTCATTTGGAAGGTTGAGGACTTCCTGTCTTGATTACCTTCAGGAACTTCTATAAAAAGCAGCACAGCACTGTGAATGACCTCATATTGTAAACTGTAATCACCACACAGGTATATTTGCTCAGACTACTGTGTCTCTAACATCTCTCCAACGCTGCACTTCATGATTTTATACATGAATGGGATTCATACGTGGTCCTCAGATAGAAAGAATAGGGCAGGGGAAGAGGAGAGTATCCTTGCTGATTATTTTCTGTTTCTCATGTTTTTATTAGATACTGCTTGTAATAAGAACCAACAAAATAAGACACAAACCTCCTTTCTTCTCTCTCCTAGAGAAATCTGACAGAATATTTTGTGGCTGTGGATGTAAACAACATGTTACATCTGTACGCCAGTATGCTCTACGAACGCCGGATACTCATCATTTGCAGCAAACTCAGCACTGTGAGTAGATAAGGCTCGAGATGGGCTTTTTAATTATTGTATTTCAATTGAAGGATGTATTGGAAGATTAAAGAAATTTTTAGAAAAAGAAATCAGCCACAATCCCCTCAGATAGTAACATGTCCTCTTCATTAATTATTCATGTCCCTTTATGGAGCCAATGCACATTTCATTTATTCTTAGAGTTTTACAATCACTTATAGTTTTCCATTTGATCTTATGTTATGAACACTTTGCATACTTCCACATAAGTGTCCATCATTGTCAGTTTTTACGTTCTATATCTTATTCCATTATACTGATGTCATCATTTATTAAATCTTTTTTCTCTTGGTGGCTATTTCAGTTGTTCATAGATTAACCCTTTAATAGTTAACCCTGCAGTGAATATCTTTTGGCTACTTTTGACCATTTCTGAGTGGAATTGTATGTATGTGTATGTGTGTAAATATACATATTCATACCCACACACACTTCTTGGTCATGTATAGTGGGATACATGTTCATAGTAGCATTTTTTCCCCCCTGTTTTAAACCTGGGGAGGGCCTACATGGCCATTAACAGAGAACTGATAAATTGTGGTATAGTCATACAATGGAATACTGTATCGGTGAAACTAACATTGTCAGCACGATTGGGTCTCTAATATAGAATTTCAAGTAAAGAAATGTGCTACAGAAGAACATACAGTATCATTTCATTCATAAAAAGTTCAAGTAAGAAAAACTGAATGGTACATTATTTAGGGACACATACAAACTACAGTGGGAGGAAAGTGATGAACACACATTTTAGGTAGTAGTTTCCTCAAAGTGAGTGAAAAGAGTATAATCGGCAAAAGGTGTACAGGGGATATCAAAACTATTGTTTTTTTGTCTTGAGCTAGGATAGTGATCAAGAAGCCTTTCTGTAATGGGTCCAATAGTGAATATGACTCAAGGCCAAATAATCTTTGCTACAACTACTAGACTGTAACCCTGTAGGTTACAATCAGTAAACTAGTGTCTGTGGCTGTATTCCAATAAAGTTTTATTTACAAAGATACTGACTGCAGTTTGTCAACCATTGAGTTAGGTGCTAGCTTTTGCAGTCATGTTTTTTTCTTTTAAAATATGCTTATTTGATATACACATTTTAGTATGTGCACATATTTCAGAATTTTTGAAAAGTTAAAAAATAAGATACTAAGGCCTTTTGTCATGAAACTTTACAATACTGGGATAGAGACAAAGCAATTCTTATACAAAAGCTAAGAATCAAAATTGCACAAGATTTTGCTGTGACAGTTTTATATTTATTTTATTGATTTGAGAGAGGAGATAGAGAGAGGAGATAGAGCGAGATTGACTGATTTGTTGTTCCACCCATTTATGCAGGCGTCTTCAAACTACGGCCCGCAGGCCACATGCGGCCCGCAGAGGAGTCTGATCCGGCCCGCCAGGTTTTTTGGGCAGTGAGCGCAGCCGAGGTCTTACAGTAGGAATTAGTAGTTCATATAGTCCGGCCCCCCAGCCCTCTGAGGGACCGTGATCTGGCCCCCACTTTAAAAAGTTTGAGGACCCCTGCATTTATGCATTCATTGGTTGATTCTTGTACATGCCCTGGCCATTTGTTTAACTCACAACCCTTGTGTGTTGGGACAATACTCTAACCAACTGAGCTACCCAGCCAGGGCTGCTGTGACAGTTTTAGAAACCAGAAGAGTCAAGTAGTGTCTGAACATCTAAGGTAAATTGATTTCTAACCTGAGATTTCTATACTTACTAATGAAAGTCTCAGCGGAGCATGGCAGGAGTTCATACCACACCTGTCAACCTCATGGTTCTCTCCTCTTCCACTCTGCCTTCTCCATTGTGGATGAGCTGTCTGGCCTCTCTTGGGCCAACCACTCTGCTATCGACCTGACTTCATATAACAAGTATTTTTCATGGCACTGTTGTGGGCACTGGGGATACAATAGTGAACAAAATGAGCAAAAATATCTGTTCTCATTGAGCTTACATGTTAGTAGGGAAGACCTTGAATAAACAAGGTAAGTTAGGTATATAGTAATCATAGTAGGCTTTACAGTAGTGTACTGATAAGTGATAAGGAGTGAAATAAGCAAAGAAGGAGAGTGGATGGGGAGTGGTAAGGTCATAGGGACTGTGATTTTAGATAGATGGCCCAGGAGTGCCTGATTAAGGAAAAAGCCATACTGCAGTGTCCTTCTTCCTGATTGAATGGCATTCCTCTTACAGTCTGCCTCAGTATGTTTTGTTTTTTTTTCCCTTTTGGTCCTAATAGTCACTCATCTTATGAGCTTTCTAATATGTTTGTTTATATATTGTATATATATATTATTGATTTTTTACAGAGAGGAAGGAAGAGAGATAGCTAGAAACGTTGATGAGAGAGAAACATCGACCAGCTGCCTCCTGCACACCCCCCACCAGGGCTGTGCCCGCAACCAATGTACCTGCCCTTGACCGGAATCGAACCCGGGACCTTTCAGTCCGCAAACTGACGCTCTACCACTGAGCCAAACCGGTTTCGACTGAGCTTACAAATATGTTATAGCTAGAGGCCCGGTGCATGAATTCGTGCACGGTTGGGGTCCCTTGACCTGACCACCCCCGATCACAGCCAGTCAGGGCCAGTGGGCTGGGAGTAAGGATCACCAGAGGTTGGCCTGCCGCAGGAGATTAATTGTGGTAGTGCACAGACCACCTGGGGGCAGCTCTTGTGTTGAGCTTCTGCCCCTGGTGATCAGTGCATATCATCTGGTCCTAATGGTCACTTAGGCTTTTATATATAGTGACTAGAAGCACATTGCACAAAGAGATTTCCAGCTCTTGGCTTCCAGCTCTGGTTTTCCTCCAACACCTGGGACCCAGCCTTCGCTCTGGGCAGAGTCTGCCTTCTTCGTCTTTGCTGTAAACTCTGGAGTCTGCAGTCTTTGTCTTTACTGCGCCAGAGTGCCACTCCTGTAGATCCTTCGCCCCCTATCCTCCCTCTCATAGCAGGTGTCCTGTCCCATCCTGCCATTCCACACCTGGAGCAGCTGGGAAGCCACCATCTTTGTCCTTCTAATTTGTATATTACCTCCTGATTGGCTGGTGGGCACAGCAGAGTGATAGACAATTTGCATGCTTCTCTTTTATTAGTGTAGATATCTCCCAAAGTTAACAGAACTTCCTTGATTCACATCTGCTTTACTCCATTTCTGTTTTCCCTTTTAGAATAGAATTGCTCAAGAGAGTTATTTCACTTTACTGTCTAATTTCCCATTCTTTCCTCAGTTATTCTATGGATTAAGCCCCTACCTCTCCACTGAGACAGCTTTTGTTTGGGTCACCAAAGACCTTATGTCAAGTAAAATTAAAATGAGTTGATACTGGCAAAGCTCTTAGAACAGAGTCTGCCATGTAGTGTATGTATATGTTTATAATAATAACATCTATAATGGGAAGTCAGATATTGTTTAAAATTTTTAATCAAGAAATAAGAACATAAGTATTATATGTGATTACTGTGAATAATAGTAAGGAATATCATGAAATGGTCTACTACTCTTCAGGATAAACCTTTTGTGCTTTCTCTCTCTTTTTTTTAATAAACCTTTATTGTTCATATTATTACAGAAGTTCCTCATTTTTCCCCCCTCCACCAGGTTCCTACCCCACCCTCTTCCCTTTCCCCACCCCCCCATTGTCCTCATCCATAGGTGCACAGTTTATGTTCAGTCTCTTCTCGCACCCCCCATTCCTCTTTTCCCTGAGAATCATCAGTCCACTTCCCTTCCATACCTCTGATTCTATTATATTCAACAGTTAATATTGTTCATCAGGTTTTTTAATTCCCTTGGTTTTTAGATTCACTTGTTGATAGTTATGTATTTGTTGTTCATAATTTTTATCTTTATTTTCTTTCTCTTCCCAAAGAACCCCCTTCAGCAATTTATATAATTCTGGTTTGGTGGTGATGAACTCCGTTAGCTTTATTTAATTTATTTTTTAAATTTTATTTATTAGTGAAGCTCTTTATCTGGCCTTTGATTCTGAGTGATAGCTTTGCTGGATAGATTATTTTTGGCTGTAGGTTCTTGCTATTCATCCATCACCTTGAATATTTCTTGCCATTCCTGTCTGGCCTGCATGGTTTCTGTTGAGAAATCAGCTGACAATCGTATGGGTGCTCCTTATTGGTAACTACCTGTTTCTCTCTTGCTGCTTTTAATATTCTCTCTTTGTCTTTTGCTCTTGCAATTTTAATTATGATGTGTCTTGGTGTGGTCTGCTTTGGATTCCTTTTGTTTGGGGTTCTGTGCACTTCCTGGACTTGTAGGTCTAATTCTTTCACCAGGTGGGGGAAGTTTTCTGTCACTATTTCTTTCAGTATGTTTTCAATATCTTGCTCTCTCTCTTCTTCTGGGACCCCCATAATTCTGATGTTGGTTCGCTTGAAGTTGTCCCAGAGATTTCTTACATTATCTTCAACTTTCTGGATTCTCTTATCTTCATGCTTCTGTGGAGGAGTGTCCTCTGGCTCTTTACATTCCAAATCTTTGATTTGATTCTTGTGATCTTCCATTCTGTTTTTAGGACTCTGTATAATATTTTTTATTTCAGACAATGTACTTTTTATTTCTTATTGATCCCTTATTATTTCTTGTTGATCCCTTATTATTTCTAGTTGATCCCTTTTCATATCCTCATAGGTTTTATAGGCCTTTTCTAGGAAATTCTTGAAAAACCTTATAAGCGTAGTTTTGAACTCTATATCAAATTGCTTTTTGTCCTCCAATTCTTTCGTTTGTGATCTTTTTCCTTGTCTCGGCATTTTTGCAGCTTCCCTGAGTTGGTAGCCTTAAAAGTCTCTGTGTTCAGCTTGGATGGGGCAGTGTTTCAGGGTGGAGCCTACAGCCTTGGCTTCAGTCAGCCATGCCCTATGAGGCTCCTGAGTCTCAGTATTCCTCAGGGTCCTTCAGTACTCGTTGCAAGCACCTCTGAGAGAAAGG